ACCAGCCGCACCTCCAGCACCAGCAGCACCTCCAGCAGCGCCAGCACCAGCAGCACCTCCAGCAGCGCCAGCACCAGCAGCACCTCCAGAAGCTCCAGCAGCACCTCCAGCACCAGCAGCACCTCCAGCAGCTCCAGCAGCTCCAGCAGCAGCAGCACCAGCACCCGCAGCACCTCCAGCAGCTCCAGCAGCACCAGCACTGCGACAGCGCCGAGAGTACCACTCACGAAGCTGCGGTGGAGAGAGGCTCCCGCCGCAACGGGACACCTAGAGCACCTCCAGACGCAGCACGCGTAGGCTCAGCACCTCCAGACGCCGTACCCTCAGGCTCCACACGCCCAGGCTTAGCACCCCCAGGCTCAGCACGCCCAGACTCAGCACCCCCAGACTCAGCACCCCCAGGCTCCACACGCTCAAGCTCAGCACCCCCAGTCCCCGCACCCCCAGTCCCCGCACCCGCAGGCTCAGCACCCCTAGCAGCACCTGAGTCGACAGCTACCTCGACCGGCTCGGCAGGGTCTACCTGGGACACACCTGAGGGGGCAGGACCCTGGGGGGGGAGGGGGTCTACCGGGGGAGTACCTGGTGCTAGGAAGAGCGGCGGGGGGGGGGGAGAGGCAGTGCGGTAGGGAAAGAGACGGTAGTACGACACCGACTCGTCAAACGTGACGTCCTGAGAGGACAGAACACGACGCGAGGTGGGGTGGTAGAACTGCCACCCGGGTGCGTCAGGAGGGAAGCCAAGGAAGACACAGGGAACGGCACGGGAGGACAGCTTGTCCGCTGTAGTATCGCGGACAAAAGCTCGAGATCCCCAGACACGGAACGCGGACGCATCGCCAACCTTCCCTGTCCACCGCAGAGTAGGTGTGGTCTCCGGCAAGGAGACACGAGGCTGAAGGTTGATCTGATGCGCAGCGTACTGAACCGCGAACGGCCACAGAAAATGGGGAGCAGCCGCATGGATCATGGACGTACGAGCGACGTCCATGACCAGGCCAATGCGGCGCTCAGCAATCCCATTTTGCTGCGGGGAGGCCGGAAGCATGAACGTCAAGCGGATGCCCTCCGAACGACAGAAGGCCCTCAGGAGGTCGGAGGAAAACTCCCCACCTCTGTCTGAGTGCAGACGCAGAACAGGAAGGTCTGAACCGAAACTCTCACTGAGCTGGCGACGAGCACCGCGGATCCAGTCGATCAACACCTCAGGGACCTCACCCTTGCTGCGCAAGGGGAAGACTGTGGTGTAACGCGAGTAGTCGTCAACGACCAGCAGGAAGTAACGCTCGTGACCCTGTCCACGGACGCGGGCTGGGCCCCACACGTCCATGTGAAGAGTCTGCAGAGGAGCCTCAGTCGGAGGGAACGAGGAGGAGTGAGGAGCGGCGCGCTGCCTGCCCTCGACACAGGGAACACAGGTGGGGGCAGGCCCCGGAGGAAGGGGAGGGAGGGACCGGGGTAGACCCGAGACAAGGGCACGGGAGGCCATACCTCGAAGACGAGGCAGGGAGGGGTGACCAAGGCGGTGGTGCCAAAGGAGAGTCTCGTGCGACAGAGGACGACACGAGCAGGGGGCAGACGCAGGACTAGACCTGGACGCGGCAGCAAACACCTGACTAGACGCAGCTACCTGACCAGACGCAGAGACCGGAGGAGGCGCAGTAGTCAGTGTGTACAGACTCGACCCTGGCCGACGGGTGAACGTGGCCAGGTGGCGGCCCGTCCGAGAGCAAGTGCAGTGGGTCACACGCTGACCTCCAGGGGTGAACTGGTCAACCCACGCGTCCTGGAGGTCAGCTCCACTCACCAAGTTCATAGAGAACGAGGGGAGGGGGAGTCCCGACAGCAAGCCCGACGGGGCCGCAGGACACGGTAGAACCGTGGAGGAGTGTGCAAGGACTGGGCCCCCTGAGGGGTCAGCAAGGGAGACCGCAACAGGCCGACTGAGCGGCGTGAGCGTGGTGCTGTCTCTAAAGAAAGAGTGCAAAGCACCAGAGTCAAGTGTGAAAGTGTGCAAGGACTCAGTAGGTGCAGTACCAGAGAGAGCAGACGCACCAGCACCTGGAGCAGCAGACGCACTAGCACCTAGAGCAGTAGACGCACTAGCACCTAGAGCAGCAGCCGCAATGCCCGGGTCGGGCGGGACACTCAGGTAACCGTCACCCTCAGCACTATCAGCAAGAGCATACATGGCAGCAAGGATAGCATCAAAATCTAGATCAAAGATAGGCACATTCTGCAGAAGCAGATCTTGCCAGCGAGGGAGCTTAACGGCGTCAGGAAACTGGGTACGCCAAGCGTCAGTCAAGCGACCGAAGCAGCGCTGCGTGGTGTGTGGGAGCCCACACACCTCCCCACTACGAGTGCCGGTGCGAAGAACGTAAGTGCAGGGACCTGCACCCCCAGACCTCCCACGTCCAGCGTACCACTCACGAAGCTGCTGAACCGACGGGGTCTCACGGGTGCGCAGCTGCTGCTGGCGCTGGCTGCCACCAAAGCCTCCACGTTGAGCGACTGCACCTCGACCAGCACCACCGCCGCCGCCACCTCCACCACCGCTGTCGATGCCTCCACCACCTCCGCCACCGCCGCCACGACCTCCACCGCCGCCACTGACGCCCCCACTCCCGGTACCACCCCCACCTCCACCGCCACCTCCGCCGCCGCCTCCACCTCCTCCACTGCTTCCCCCGTCGCCCCCTCCACCACCCTTACTCCCCTTGCCCTTGCTGTTGCGGCGTCTCCCACTAGGGGCAGACGCAGCTCCGACCTCCTCAGTGCCAACGAGGTCGACGGCAGCAGCAGAAGCAACAGAGGGGAGAAGGGGGACAGGGGAACACCCCTCAAAGAAGGGGGTGCGACGGTCGCCGCGAGAAGCACCTACAGCTAAGATACTCTTCTCAGCTGCAGCAAGGCGCTCCTCTAGCAGGTCGACAGTCAGCTCGGTGGGGCAAAGGGAGAGAAAGTGGTCCCTGACCGAAGAGAGGGAGTCAGGGAGGCGGGTGACTAGGTAGTAAAGGGTGATGTACATGGGGGGGGGGGGTTCTTGGCACAGAATTCATTGGGAAGGGCAGCGCGGTAGCGGGCGTCACTAGTGCGAAGGTGAGCAACTAGGTCAGCGACTGTGGCAAAGGCGGCAAGGTCAGGGAAAAGGTACGGCAGCATGAGGCGGCTGAGGGCAGCAGTGGCAGGGGAGGAGTAGCGTGCAACTACAGCGTCGTACAAAGACTGAGCAGTCTTGTACTGGCCAAAGTGTGCGCGCTGAGCAGGCGGCAGGTGACTACGAACAGCAAGACGAGCAACAGCGTCACGAGTGGTCCACTGCGAGCGAACAGTACTGTCAGCAGTGGCAGCAGGAGCAGTGGAAACACCGGACGTGTGATCGAACAGGGATACCCCATCCCTAGAATCACACTGAAGAAAGAGCTGTAGGTCGTCAACCCACACGTCAAAGTCAACTGCACGTCCCTCAGCATCAAAGGTGAGAACGGTAGGACTAGCCATAGCAGTAGTAGGAGCAGTAGCAGTAGTAGCAGCAGTAGCAGCAGGGCAGTGCAAGGCAGTGCTGCTCGGTAGGGCAGTGCGGCTCGGTGGGAGGCGGCGCGGCTCGGCTGAGCGGCGCGGCTCGGCTGGGCGGCGCGGCTCGGCTGGGCGGCGCGGCTCGGCTTACCAGAGACGGGTGCAGGGCGGGCCGTGACTGCAGAGGCCGCGCCAGTAGGGGTCGGCATGGGCTCGTCAGCAGGGGCCGGCAGGGGCGCGCCAGTAGGGGCGCGTCAGCAGGGGCCGGCAGAGGCGCGTCAGCAGGGGCCGGCAGGGGCGCGCCAGCAGGGGCGCGTCAGCAGGGGCGGCAGAGGCGCGCCAGCAGGGGCCGCGCCAGCAGGGGCCGGCAGGGGCTCGTCAGCAGGGGCCGGCAGGAGCGCGCCAGTAGGGGCGCGTCAGCAGGGGCCGGCAGAGGCGCGTCTGCAGGGGCCGGCAGGGGCGCGCCAGCAGGGGCGCGTCAGCAGGGGCCGGTAGGGGCGCGCCAGCAGGGGCCGGGAGGGGCCGCGAAGGGCCGCTTAGGGGCCGCGAAGAGCCTCGGAGAGGGCCGCGAAGGGCCGTGAAGGGGCCGCGAAGGGCCGCGAGGGGCCGCGAAGGGCCGCGAAGGGGCCTCGAAGGGCCGCAAAAGGGGCCGCGAAGGGCCGCGAGGGGCCGCGAAGGGCCGCGAAAGGGGCCGCGAAGGGCCGCAAAAGGGGCCGCGAAGGGCCGCGAAGGGGCTGCGAAGGGCCGTATGAGGGGCCGCTAAGGGCCGCGAAGGGGCCGCGACGGGCCGCGAAGGGGGGGGGGGGGGGCACGAGGGGCCTCGAAGGGCAGGCGCACGGGGCGCAGCCAGGACAAACGCGAAGCGCGCTTCGGGCAGGTAAGGAAAAAAAAAATGCGTAGTGGTGCGCCCTTAAAAAAAAAACGGTCCCACTAGGGAACCTGCTCTATACCATGTGAGAATAATGAGAGGAATGAATGAACTAGAAAGGAGATGGGTACATGTAGAAAACACAAAAGTGTTGTACCCTCTAAGAACTACCCCACTACAACCTAAACAGACTATAGCATATATAAGTTTGACAGTATCCGCCAATTAACAAAAAACGACCCCACCCCTCCTCCCAGAACCGAGATGCCCGCCCCCCCACAAAAGTGTTGTACCAACAGTTTTCTCTTGTGGAAAAATACAAGCGAGCAAAGTTTGAGTTGGCTAAAAAATCTTTCAGCCACAGCGGATATTAGGTTGATATTCCTGCTCTTCCAGACTGTCTGTTCCTCCTGAGTTTGTTTTAAAGAGACATGCTGGCTGGACCATGTGAGCTTGTTGCATAGCAAACTGCTGAGAAAATTTTCATGTATATTTGGTGCTTCCTGAATGCAGACGTGCATGAGCAGCCTCAGGTAACCCGCCTTTCTCAGTAATCGTTACAAGCATGCTCATTACAGCATTGGTCTACAAGAAGCGCAGCAGCAGCAGGCATCTAGAACTGCATGCGGTGGGGCTTGTCTCCCGACGTGAGTGAGAAGCGAGCAGAGAGGTACTCCTTGAGCAGCGGCTCGCTGCCTACGGCCGCCAGGATCTTCTCGTCCACCGCCGCCTGGTCATCCTTCCTCGCCTGCGACACCACCTTCTTCTCCTGTGCACAGCACACAGATGAGAAGCAAACAACAAGGTACATGTTGAGAGGCTCTTCTTGACTCATGCCTGTCAGCATCCACCGCTGCCCAGTCATCCTTCCGAACCTGCGACACCACCTTCTCCTGTGCACGCCAATGGTGGAGTTAGATAAGGCAGGAGTTGAGTGAGAAGGGGGAGGAGGGGGGGGGAGGGGGAAGGGGACGGGAAGCGTTGACTGGGAAGTGAGCAGCAGAGAGCACAAACTCTTCGACTATGACTGCCAGGGCCCACTGCTGCCTGCGACAAGGACACGTCTAACTGAGCAAACCATGCAGAAAAGAGCTGCTTGAACAAGGACTGGTTGGTTGCACTATTGCCTGGCTTCTTGGCAGGAGCTCCTTGCTTACGGCTGCATGAAATCACTGCTGCCCAGCCAACAATCTTTGGCAGCTAAAACCTTCCTTCTCCTGAAAAAACGGCGCGTGAATGGAGGCCGGGAAGCAGGGTGGTAGGAGTGGGTGCGGGGACGGAGGGGGGAGGGGAGGGGTAGGAGGAAGAGGTGCTGGGTGAGGGGGGGGGGGGGGAGGGGGGGGGAGGGGGGGTTAGGAGGAAGAGGTGCGGGGAGAGAGGGGAGGGGAGGAGGGTGAAGGGAGGGGCAATAAGAGAAGAACAATCCGTGCAATGCACTGGGATGCAGCTGACCTTCTCGGTCTCGAAGAACTCGCCCTCGTTCTTCTTCTCCTTCTTCTTCTGCTCGCCCGCGACATAGCCTTTTGAGTCAACTCAAAAGCCACCTGATAACATTCCACGCAAGGCACCTAAAGGAGGACACGCCCTCAACAACTGACCTTCTTCTCGGTCTCGAAGAACTCGCCCTCGCTCTTCTTCTCCTTCTTCTTCTGCTCGCCCGCGAAGTAGCTGTCGTCGAACTTGGCCACGTCAACGCCGCTCACGTCCACCTTGGTCGACGTGGCGATGACGTAGCGCTGGTTGACTCTCCTCAGGGGAATCCTGTTCACCTTGAAGGGACCTGGAGGGGGGATAGAGGCCAGAAGAGAGATGGCAGAGGAGAGGGGTTAGCTCAGAGGATGGCGGCGAGAAGGCGGAAGAAGGCGGGTGGATGATGTAAATGGTTGAAGGGGAAAGGCTATTCAACAAGCAAGAGGAGAACCAGAGGAGAAGGACGCGTAACAACTCAGCCTGGCGCATAAAGAGCATGTCAAAGAGAGTGCAGTGGCCTCATAGATCTTGGTGGTAAGTAAATCGTCATGCGGCCGTGGCCGTCAAGAGTAGCAAATACTGATGAATAATCACCGGCCACATGGTCACCTTTCACCAATGAGCGTAGACGGAAACGGAGACGGAAACGGAGACGGAAACAGACATACATACTTCGCTAGGAAGGCATGTAAGCCAAGTTCAAGCAACGTTTTCAAGATGGAGTGGACAGCAAACAATGAGCGCAAACGGAAACGGAGTCAAGTGGATCCAGCAGCCACTGAAAGACGCTGAAACGAGGACTGAACGTGAATTCAGGGGCGACGTATTGAAACCGGGAATGGAACCGGAATGACTCCTGTTTCAGAAACCAGGTCAGCAACGCGACAAGGAATCAGCTCGGCTCCTGGCTTCTGTTCCGGCATCATTTTCTAAACAAAGAGGAGATATCCCGTCGACAGGTTCACATAGGAAAGTATCCGTAACAGCGGCCTCATATCTTGGTGGTAGGATATTCGTCAAATGGACTGAAGCCATCACGAGTAGCAGATCATGGAATTTAATCACCGGCCACCTACGGAGTCACCAAAAACCAGAAGTGTGCGGCTATAAGAGACGAGATTCGTAAGGCATACGAGAAAGCAGCTCGAAATCTGTGGTGACAGCCTCATAGATCTTGGTGGATAGTTAATCGTCATGTGGCCATGCCATCAAGAGTAGCAAATACATCATATAATCACCGGCTGTACCACCACCGTCCAACGAAGTGATCGGCTTCAAACCCCCATTGTACCACTGCTCCCAATAGCCCTTCATCGACTGCAGTATTCTGACGTGACCGCACTGCATGCTACGGTCTCACCCTTCAAAACCAAAGTTCCAAGTTTCAAAGTCTGATGTCAAACCTACAATCGTCTGCCACCGGTGCAGGGTGCCTAGAGTGTTAAAGGTAATACACGGAACGACGTGTAACCAAAACGGAACGGTGTCGAACGGGGGTGAAATTAACTGGTAGTCCTAACAGAATATACCGTGTCGTTGGCTCGGGTGCACTGCCGACCTAGACGGAGCTCCTAGAGCTCCCTGGATAACGAATAACTACGACGCGAAGATCGCTACATCGGCCAGCGCTGGAGCCCCCAACAATCGCTACGATCCAAGTATCTAAATCGTGACGACTCCATGATTAGATAACAAAGCTGGGACACGCTGGTGGGGGCGAGGAGGGGCTAAACAGATGAGAGTTAACATTAAGACACGAGGAGCAGGAAAGTGGACGACACCTTTTGCAATGGCGTGAGCTTACCAAAAAAGAGAAGCAGTATAAATCAATCCAGAACCTTACCGGTGACGAGGAGGAGACCAGACTCGAGCTGCTTCAGGAAGACGACGCGCCTGCCCTTGTCGCGACCAGCGAGGATGATCAGCACTGTGCCTGGGGTGATGCTCGCACTGCGATAAAGGAGAAGGAGAACAATGCCATTCACAAAACAAACGAAGTGAATCTAACACGAAAATAGCAGCCATGCTCCCAACCCTAATTCCTCAATCGTGCCAGCGAATGCGCGAGCAGTGGGAATCGCGGAAGGACGGAGCGAACCCTAGCGGTCTTTAACGAGCTAGAGGGGTGATGGGACCCGAGCGGAAACCTAGCCTCGCAAACCACAGACGCAGCGCTTACCAGACCCTTACCGCAGCTTCGAGGGACGATTCACACGCGCCCTCTTCAGGGGCTTCTTGACAGCATCTAGGCTGTATGACTTGGGAGCCGCTGCCTCCGCCATAGCTGAAAGGATCGAGGTATACCAGATTCTAGAGGGGCGTGGGAGGGGAGAGGGAAAAAGAAAAGGAGTTGCTCTTGTGGGCGATGATGCATTTGGGGGAGCATGTGGAGGAGCGCGGAGGTTCTTGCGCACTGGTGCGGAATCTGGGAACACTCTTGCGGAAAGGGTGGCAAGCAGAGGCATGGCGGGAGGGGAGCTGTGGGGAATGGGGAAATGGTGGCAGAGAGGAGGAGGCGTAAGGGATGGGATTGGGTTTGGTTGGGTTTAGAGATTAGCGGGGTGTCGGGTTTGGGTTGATTTTGCGATGGCCGGAGCAGAGGGGAGAGCACTTCGGGGCATTGTCAAACTGCAGATAACCTGCCATGGACAATGGACGCTCTAGACGTACAGAAAATATTATCTGTACTTTTGAAGTGTAGATTGTAGGTCATCAAACTGGCGTCAGCGTTACGACAACATTGAGGTGGAACTTTTCCAAGTTATGGGAAAACCAAAATATCTAGGTATTGTTTTTTTCTGAAGCCATCAGCGACGAGTGCGGAAAGTATGCTCGCTAGGCTGTGGTATCCGCAGGTATCATTGCCTCTGTTGCCTGACATCACTGCGCTTCTTGCTGGTTGGTTTCCGTGACAACTTGCTGTGAGCGGGCCTCAGTCGTTACTGGATCGACATCTTAACATATTGTCTGAATGGAATTGTTTTCTGATTTCGCGGCTGGCTTCGACGAAGAGCTCGATGTTGACGACTCAGACATATTGTCAGCCCTGGGCAAGGTTCCAGACGCAAGCAAGCGTCAGTCAGAACAGAATAATATCGAAGGGAGCAAACTACCAGGAAACAGCGTTGTTCAACCGGTGAGGACGAAAGCAGCTGCAAATGTCGACGGCAGACACTTTGGTCCAGGCGTTACCCTTGCGCAACAAAGAGATGATATCCTAGACAGGGATAGCAACGACCGTTTAAGATTCAAAGTCCCACCTGAGCCAACTTCGAATGATTTTAACTTCGCACCAGCCAGGAATAACCATGCCGCGGACTGGATGAGGCCTGAGCGCCGATCGCCAGCTGATACTAATGCTGCCAATCACTCCGAAGGCCAAGGACGGCTCCAAGGACGGGAACCGACGGTCAGCCAGTCTCAGCAGAATGGCCCTACGGACAACAGCGTTGACGACGGGATTAGTGGATGGGCGAATTTCAGCCTCGGAGATTTCGACCTGGGCATTGATGGCTTGGGAGGAGACGCGGATCGAATGCGAGGAGACCCAGACGAGGAACCTGTTGAATTTCCACCCTCCCAGCGTGCAAATCAGACACACGGATTGAGATCCTCCCAGCGTGCGGATCAGGCCCGCGGATTGGGGAATGATAGCGAGTTTGTCAATGAGTTTGAAGGTGGTCATAGAATGAGCTTTGGATTGGACGATGCAGGAGCAGCTAGGGATAAAAAGAGGAGAAAAAAGGGAGCGAACATCGAGACTGCTGTGAAATCTGAAGATGTGGAATTGAGCCCTGAAGAGAATGCGTTTCTTAATAATGACTCGCCTCCCTCGGATGGAAAAGCTGTGGGGGAGAGTCTAAGGATTCTTCCGGGCCCTATTGGTATCCTTCAGCGAAGACTAGCAGGTCTATCGTGTGGTCCTGGTCATGATGATGGTGGCAATGGCGGCCCCTTGCTGAATGATGGCTTTTCGCGTGGTCGGCCAGATTTTACAGGAGATGAAGACTTCAGTAAAGGACCATGGCTCTCATGCCTGGACGTCCTCGACATACATCCTTCTGCCTTTGGTACGGTCCGGAAATGTTTATTCCAATTTCCATCCTGTGGTCGTGTGTGTGTATTTGTGTGTGTGTGTAATCATTGTACTCACCACTGCTGCTGTTCCTACTTCAGGGACACCAGGCACTGGGTGTGAAACAGTAAGGAGCATTCGGCAAGCAGGCATTTCGATGGTGGTGATGCAGGTGAGGTGACTGCTAATTCTGGATTTTTATAATCTCTGTTAATGGTAGAGGCTGGTTGTAAACATGCTGTGCTGTCATTGAGTATGTTAACACCTTTTGCTTGTCTGTCATGGTAGATGATTGTCATTTTTTGCTTGTTTGTTGAAACCTTCTCCTGTCCCACACCCACTAGCTCGCAGCTGTGGTGGAGCGCCTTCAACTACAACCACGGGGTGATGCGAACATCGAAATCAAGGTATCTTAGCTGTTCGCTGTGCACCTGGTTTATAGAGGAAATGATGGAGCGCCGTGTTTTCTAGTTTCCAATTCCAATGGGCAGTGGTTTTGACAGCACATCGCTCCGCGCTCGCGTCCAATACCTTGGGGCATATTATTTCTCCGTTTCCCCTTTTGAGTCCACAAATACAGATTGTTTCTATGTTACGGGATATTCCAAATTTATTCGTCGAGTCCATAGCAAATGCGCAGCTCGGCACAAAAAAAAAAAAAAAAAACCCTCATGGATGGTATGCCACGTAAAAGGGCATCAACCCTAAACACCGTGAGGCAAGGTGTTTAGGGCTGATGCCTCCCAAATGGCTTGTCATCCGAGTGGATTTTAGTTTTGCCACTGGCCTCTATACTGAAACCAGGTAGACTTAGTATTTTCCCTTCTATACGTCTGGTCGCGAAAAATGGGAAATTGCAATAAAAACTGCCCACGGGAATTGGGCGTGAGCGCGAAGGGAGTCGCTGTCAAAGCCACTGCCGATAGGAATCGAAAATGCGCAAACACGGCGGTCCGTCATTTCCTCTGGTTTATAGCTGTAGACTGGAGCAACGCATGCGTTTTCCTCATGCAAGTACTAGGCTGTGCTTGCACAACAAGTGAAAGTTGGGCGATGGTGTGTGCATAGAAAGTATGACATGATCAAAGGACATTTCGCCATCCACTTTCTGTTCTGCTGGCGTGGCCATCTAATCCAGGACCCCACCAATCGTCTGGAGGGCTCACTGCACTGGAAGGTCATGGCTGAAGCCGACAACAAGTCGCGGCTTAAGCGAGGATCTGCCCTTTTACTCCGAAAGGTTCACAACCCATCCGTTTTGGGTCTGCATCTACTTAAGATAATCTCATGGTGCATTCAGAAGGAAGAATGTGCATTTATTTGGAGTTGTTGATGTGGACATGTGTGGTTGTCAGGTGGTGGTATTCAGCCCTCGCGAGGGACTGCAATATATCAACATCACTCTTGCCAACGTTGTTCAGGTGAGTGTAGGCGCGTACCACCAATCGTTCCAGTACAATTGTCACTTTCGTCCCTTAACTATTTCATTGTGCAACTTTCTGCTTTCCCATCCCGTCCCGTTCCAGGTGTTTCCTCCGGACACACCGATTCCTCCTGTTTCTGCATTTCGCCCATCATCATCGGATCTACCAGGTGCGTGCATGATTTTTCCGAAGAGGCTTCTCTGCCTGTTTTACCATTTTCGATGTTCATTTTGCTGTCCCAGGAACTCCTGCGACTGCCTGAGTGTCTAATTATTGTCTTCCTTCTCCACACTGCAGGCCCACGCGTTGACTCTACCCGCTCTCCTCCATTCAGCTCAACAGCTTCCACGCCTGTACACACTCTCCAATCTCCAATGGCGAACCAACAACCTCCCTTCGCAATGCCACGTCACAGACTCGCTGAAGACTCACCCTTTTCATCAAAGAATCCCCACCTGCACACTCAGAGGCCACAGTCGCCAAGCTCTCTTGGAACCAACCGAGTGCCAGCATCGCCTCAACCTGTGACACACATCCCATCTTCAGCTCCTCCACCTCGCCCTGCTACTGGTACTTCAGTCCAGATAAATTCTGCCGCTGCCGCTGGTGGAACGGTGGGTTATCCCGCACCATTCACTTCTAATGTTCCAAACCCCCGCTCCAATGCCGAGATGATGCCGAAAACTACCCCAGCCAGTCGAGTTCCAGCAGCCACGATTGAACGGAGGGAGAAGGCGTGGGATTTCACGTCAATTGATGCTGAGGATGCTGACATCTGCCTCACGCCCATGGTGCCTGATGCGGCCTTGGAGAGCCACCGGGGAGGGTCTGGCCCTCATGTTTCTGCCATGCAGGATGAAGGTGAGGAGAGAATTCAGCCAGGTGATGCAAGATCTCGTCTGCCTCCAACCACAGAATGCCAGCAAGGTATCTCAGCTGGCGTAAATTTTGGCATCCATGGACCCTCAGCTTCTGTGAGGGGATGCGAAGCTGGTTTTCAAGGCGAAAGTATTAGAGAAGTGGGGATGCGAGGTACGGAAGAGAATGGCGAGGGTGGGGATTGCTTGAAAAGGAATGGCCACGAAGAGAGGGGTTCCGAAGAGGCTATTGATGTTTTGAAGAAACTGGGGTGGGATGCTGATGGTTTTGGAGCATTTTTCGAGGATGATGTGGATGGTTTGTTTGCACCTTTGACTGGAAAATGAGCATTTAAGCACCATTTCGTCATCTACTTCTGGAACGATTAAACAAGCAATAACTTCCGGCCAGCGGCCGTCCCTGCCGCGCTATTCAAGAACCACTCCTCGGGTTCCTGACCAGGGCTGTCGAAGTCACTGGGACCAAAACTTTGAGTCCTGAGGTGCTCAAATTCTGGCCCTGATTTTCACGGGCGCAGGCCAAAATCAAGTCTTAGAATCTGGGCTTCTAAGGAAAGTCACTCTTCCCTACTGTCCAAAGGAAGACGTGCCTTCTACTTAGCAGAGGGAAGGTGCATACTCAGCACTCAACAATCTTACAGCCTCTACATCGTAGGCAAAAAAATTGGGAGGGAAGGGGTTCGTAGGCATAGTCATGGAGGGGGTGGGGGGGCAGCGGCGGGATGGGGGGTGGGGGGGTGTGCTCAACACAGAAACCAAAACTTGGATTCAGGGGAAGGCCCGAACAAGGCCCTTAACTGTCTCGGGTGCCATGCCATTCTAGCACTTTAAACGGTCGAGCTGCTCCAAGCGTAACCTGGAATGTTCAGGGCATTAAGGCCAAATGGCCTTGCTTCTCCAGCTCTGTTCCTGACTGAACCCAACGGCAAGTGCCAACAGACCAGTTCAACTCAAGACAATCAGCCTGACCAAAGCCAGCTGTTGGTCTGACCAAGTCGTCTCTCGTCACCTTGGCTCAACTGAACAACAACTCCCTTAGCTGGAATCGCGACCGTTCATTCAAGGTATCCATCGAACAGATCTGCTGGGGGTTCGACCTGGTCAGGCGCGGGTCAGTTCAACGGCCAATTAGCATGAAGCATTACTGCTGTATCGGGTCACCATACCTCACTGTGCTTCAACCCACGCAAACCCACTCCACTCCGCTCTTGCAAGCGCGGACCGCAATGCCAACTTCTGTATTGGGCATCTCGTCTCCTCCCCCGCCAA